ACAATTCAAAGAGGGTTTTGACACACACCTACTACCATTATAGTGCTCCTCACCTTAGCGACGAATTGGTTTACTGATGTGTTTTCAGGAACAGAACTCCGTCATTAAGTGAGGAGAGGCTGTACACCTATTCTGAGAAGATTTTGCTCATTTGGTAGTGTGTAAAAAATATTTCTTTAACCCTTTCAGGGTTTCAGACGTACTAGTACGGCTTACGCACCAGGGTTTTTGATGTACTAGTATGCCTAAATTCTAGCGCCCTCAAATCTAGTGAGAGAAGCTGGTAGGCCTACATATGAAAGAATGGGTCTATGTGGTCAGTGTGCACAGTATAAAAAAATCCTGCAGCACACAGTGCGTAATGAGGAAAAAAAAACTTTAACATGTTTTTGATTAAAATAGCGACTTTGCACTGTATTTTCGTATGGCATTTATTGTTGTATTCTAGTTTTCCTGGTCTCATTTTATAGAACGGAAGACATATTATAGAAATTGAGATGATTTTGACTGGTTTTATAATGGAAAGTACCTTGAAATTGAGCTCAAAGAGGCAGAAGTGTTCGATTTTACCAAAGTTCAAAAGTAAACAAATCATGCTAAGCGTCCAATACACGTCAACTGGCGAGTCTAATATTCTTTCACAAGTGCGCCAATATTATTTTATACCATTTCTAACTAATGCAGTAGTCTCCATAACAGTAAATCTTCTATTTTTTTGTGAGAATAAAAAATTCAAAGTGGAAAGCAAAAGAATGTAAGAGGGGCATGCGGGCGTGCCCCTTTACATTGGCATCTTTTGAAATTTGTGTGAAATTGGCAAATTGCTAAATTCTGACCATTTATTGGATAGTTGAAATCGGTAAATGGGTTGGTTTCTTGTACTTACTCGATAGAAAAAATGGAGTTCTAGCAAAATGCACCTACCATCTGACTTACGACCGAGTTCGGTTCGCGAAAACCGGTCGTAAGTCGAAATGGATGTAAGTTGAACTTTACTTCTGAATATCAACATCACATTTTTGTAATGACTTTATTTTATTGTTTATTTTGGTATTTCATGTTTTACTTTACTTTTTATGTTGTTAGTACTGTATTTGTACTGTGAGGTTTAGGATAAACACTGTGTACAACACAAATAGTTGTTTATTTCCCAGAATACAGTGGACCCCGCTTTGCGATCACCTCCCAATGTGACCAATCATGTAAGTGTATTTATGTAAGTGCGTTTGTACGTGTATGTTTGGGGGTCTGAAATGGATTAATCTAATTCACAATATTCCTTATGGGAACAAATTCGTTCAGTACTGGCACCTGAACATACTTCTGGAATAAAATAATATCGTAAACCGGGGTCCACTGTACCATGTAATGATGATTTTCAGTTTGGGCAGTTAGACAGAAGAGAGTCCAGACATTTTTTTTTTTAAATGCTATACAAGAGGTCCTTCGCTTACAAACATCCCAAATTGTGCACATCTGCATTTGTAAATGGGTCACTCGAGAACCAATTTCATTTGCACAATCACCGAGTCACAGTAAGAATTTTTTTTTTCTGCTTAACATATGAGTATGAACAAAGCATAGCCATCCTTCTGTACTATTATTTTCTGTATGAATAGCTGAGATATGAAAGTTGAAAACTAGGATGCAAGTCTTTGTGGCTTGAAGACCTTCTATATAAGTAGTACTTGCTTGTACAGTACTACATAGTTGCATATGTATAAAATAAAACTTAATTTAAAATATTTCTCTATAGCACACAGACCTATCACAGTACCTCGAGAAACATGGTGGAGGTCTGCACCCTCGTAATGTAAAGCTGTTCCTTTTTCAACTGCTACGAGGTCTATCCTATTGTCACCGTAGACGAATTCTTCACAGGGACATTAAACCACAAAATCTTCTTTATCAGAAATTGGTGAACTTAAAATAGCAGATTTTGGTAAGTTTTGGATTTCATGAGAGTTAATATTTCAAAGGTATCAAATTGGTAATTCTGTATTAGTATGTGTAAATCTGTATGATAATTGAATGTGTAAGTTTTACTATGCACTGTGATGAAAGAAGATAGGTACAATAATTGCTCTGACCTTAAGGAGAAGGATAAAGGAGGAGTCTGGATAATAGAAAGTTATGCCTAATCAGAATTCACTAGAAAGGATGAAGAATGATGGTAAACCCGTCTTGTATAGTGATTGATCTAACCTTACAAAATATCATCGATCAGGGTAGCCACATACTGTGGTGTGGCTACCCTGTGAGCTTCAGTGTAAAGAGGATATTTCTACCCTATACATGGAATGTTTTAAAGTGTAAAATGTGATTTCCACTTTAATATTAATTTTTTTTTCAGAAAGGTGAATCAAAAGGAATTAGGTGTGGGAACTTGAATGAAATCATTTAATGATTAAAATCTTTGGCTAACTTGGCTTATGAATCTGAGCTACAAGGAGGACAGGTGTTGAGAACTTTTGTTATTTCAGAAAATCTCTCTAATCATTTTAACAATAAGTTGCTTCATGGAGCCCAGTGTTGGGGAGGCCATATTTATGTACAGTAATTTTTTTTACCACAAAAACTTTATACATGAGTATAATATAAACTACTATGTAAATATTTTAAGATACAATGTATTGTACTAGAAATAATTCTTTTAACTATTGACAGGCCTTGCACGAGCCAAATCTGTACCATCCCACACATACTCACATGAAGTGGTAACGTTATGGTATCGACCGCCGGATGTTCTTTTGGGTTCTACCGACTATTCTACTTCACTGGACATGTGGGGCGTTGGCTGCATTTACACAGAAATGATCACCGGAGTACCTGCCTTTCCAGGGGTTAGAGATATACAGGACAACTTGATAAAATTTTTAAGGTGTGTAATACTTTGTTTTTCGTGCAATGATTTTTCTGGATGCACAGTAAACTCATAATTTAATGGACAAAGTCCACTGGTTACTGAATTGTCCATTATTATTGTAATGGCAAAACAATCTCACGCCTGTCCATCACAATCAACACACTCCTTCCTATACCTGGAGAGGGTTTCGGGAATCAATGCCCCTGTGGCCCAGTCTGTGACCAGGCTGCCTGGTGGACCAGGGTCTGATCAACCAGGCTGTTACTGCTGGCTGCATGCTAATCAGGTACTGACTTTAGATGTCTGTCCAGTGCCTTCTTGAAGACAGCTAGGGATCTATTGGTTATCCCCCTTATGTATGCTAGAAGGCAGTTGAACAGTCTTGGGCCCCTGACACTTATTGTGTTGTCTTTTAGCATACTCATGGTGTCCCAACTTTTCATTGGGGGGGGGGGAGGATTCTGCATCTCCTGCCCAGTCTTGCTTTTGTAGGGAGTGATTTTCATGTGCAAAGTTAGGACTAGTCCCTCTGGGATTTTCCAAGTGTACATTATCACGTATCTTTCTCGCCTGTGTTCCAGGGAATACAAATCAAGGGACTTCAGCCCATTCTCAGTATTTTTAGGTGCTTTATCATATTTATGCATACTGTGAACGTTCTCTGTACATTCTCCAGGTCTGCAGTTTCACCTGCCTTGAAAAAGCCATTAGTGTACAGCAATATTCCAGCCTAGAGAGAACAAGCGTTTTTGAGGAGAACCACCTGAGCTTGGCATCCATAGTTTTGAAGGTTCTCTTTAAACCCCATCCTATCATTTTCTTAACAGATGTGAATAGAAACATTGTGGGGATCTTGAATGTGAGATCCTCAGACATTATAACTCCCAGGTCCTTAAACATTATTTTTCACTCTTTTGTGTGGTTGGAATTTGTTTTATACTCTGATACAGTTTTAATTTCTTTGATTTTTTCCATATCGGACTAATTGAAATTTTCTTCCATTGAATATTATGTTGCTTTCCACACCCTTTTAAAAAGATTTGGTTGATGTCCACTTAAAGTCTTTCAGTGTCTTCGAAGGGATGGCACCATCATGCAGATTCGGGTGTCATCTGCAAAGGAAGACATGGTGCTGTGGCTTCCATCTCTGTCTGTGTCAGATATAAGGATAAGGAACAGGATGGGGGCAAGTACAGTGCCTTGTAGACCTGAACTTTTCACTGTAACTGCCTCAGACTTTACCCTGTTTACTATTACTCTTTGTGGTCTGCTTGTTAGGAAGTTATAGACCCATCTACCAACTTTTCTTGTTATTCCTTTATCATTTATTTTGTGTGCAATTAAACCATGGTCGCACTTGTCGAAGGCTTTCGCAAAGTCTCTGTATTTCATCTGCATTTTGTTCATCCTCCAGTGCATAGTGGTCCAGTAATTAGGTGGAGCAGCCTGCTCTAAACCTGTGTTGTCCTGGGTTGTGTAACTGATGGGTATCTAGGTGGATGGTGATCTTACTTATTAGAACTCTTTCAAAGATTTCTATGATATGCGACATTAGTGCTATTGGTCTGTAATTCTTTGCAATTGCTTTACTGCCACCTTTGTGGAAGGGGGCTATGTCTGTTGGTTCTAGTGATAGTGGGGTGACCCCCGTGTCCATGCTTCCTCTCTTTAAAATGCTGAAGGCACATGAAAGGGGCTTCTTGCAGTTCTTGATGATTACAGAGTTCTACAAGGCTGGGCCTGGGGCCAAGTGGATGAGCATGTCATTTATTGCTTTTTTGAAGTCTTGTGGTGTTTGGGTAATATTGGAGATTTAGATTTTTGATTCTTAACCCTTAAACTGTCCAAACGTAGATCTACGTTTTTTCAACATTTGAAAGTAGATCTTTACTTTTTTTACATTTGAAAATGTGTAAAAAAAACTTTGATCTACTTTTTTTGTTTGTTATATTTGAAAATATATAAAAAAACATGAATCTACTTTTCGAGCATTACGCATGTGAACGTAAATTTGTTTGGACAGTTTAAGGGTTAATCCAGTTAATGACTCACTAAACACTGAGTCATATTGAGACTTAAGTATCTCACTCATTTCTTTGCTGTCATCTCTATAAGTTCCATCAAGGGGTTAAGTACTTGTTGTTTTTGACTTAGATTTGGCATAAGAAAAGAAATATTTTGTTTTTTTTTCAATTTCATTGATGTCTCTAAGTTCTTCCTGAGTTTCTTGTCTCCTGGATGATTCTTTAAGCTTAAGTTCAGTATTTGCTATTTCTCTGACCAGTGCCTCCCTTTGTATTTCAGATATGCTGGCCCCTTTCAGCAGCTCTGTGATTCTTGGCTTTGCCTGTATAGGGAATGTCTCTCTTTCTAATTTACATCTTCTCTTCCTTTTTCTTAATGGTATGTGCCCTGAGCATACTTCAAGTGCCACAGAGTTAATTCTTTCCAGGCAAAGATTCGGATCTGTGCTGTTTAGGATATCCTCCCAACTCGTTTCATTTAGGACATGGGTGACTTGATCCCACTGTATGCTCTTTTTATTGAAGTTGAATTTAGTGAAGGCACCTTCATAACTGGTCACCATTGGATGGTCAGGAGCCTTGCACATGCATGTCTATACCTCTGTTATGTTGTGATCCGAGTATATTGTTTTCAGTACTGTTATATTTTGTATCAGATCATCATTGTTGGTCCAGATGAGATCCAGTGTATTTTCCAGTTTAGCTGGCTCTGTTATTTGCTGGTTTAAGATGAATTTGTTGCAGAGATTTAATAGGTCATGTGTGCATAAATTTTCATATGAGCTGCCTCCTGGGGTTATCTCTAAAACATTATAGACCCCCAGTTTTCATAATTAATCTATTTCAGACGGTTGCCCTAAATCCAAAATGGCTGTAAACCGAAGTAATATTTCCCATAAGAAATAATATAAATCCAATTAATCCATTTCAGACACCCAAAAATATTAACAAAAAATACATTTTATAGAGAATAACTATAGTTTTACATGCAGAAAACAATGAAAAATAAATATAAATGACTAATTTTAATGATAAATGAATATTACATACCTTTATTGAAGACTCTTGTTGGTGAGTAGTATTTATTTGTAGTCCCAGAGGGACTACATCCCAGGCTATACCTACCGGCTACATACACTGCGGCCTACAACCATGTTATTACAATCGACATACCATGTTCACTGAGTTTAATCGTTTCTAACAACTACCTTTAGATGCCATCATAAACAAAGGGAGAAGTAATGAATAATTCATGCCGAGAATTGTGAACAAAAGCCTTGTGTGCTTGCAACCCCAAATCCTGAGGTGTCTCCTGGTGTCGCAAAATTTCCAAAAAAAAAAAAAAAAGATTATTTTTTCTCAAGAAATGATAGAGAATCTTTTCCCGATTGTAATGACACCAAAAGAACGAAATTTGATGGAAAACTGGCGGAATTACACTCTTGTGAAGTTAGCAACCTCGGTGATATTTACAAATCTGCGATTTCGCCCACTTTGAGCCCTATTTTCGGCTAATTCCATTGTTCCAGTCAACCAAACTCATAGCTATTTCTTTAGAACTCCATTTTTTCTATCAAATGAGTACAAGAAACTGCCCATTTACCGATTTCAACTACCTAATAATGTGGTCAGAAATTTACAATTTGGCCAATTTCATGAAAATTAAAAAATATGACAATTTGAAAATAGGGTCCAGAATGAACAATGCAGACATTCCTGGCTCTAAAATAACATTTTCTTTGTTCATTAATCACGTCTCCAGGACCCTCTGATATTACTATTTTGAATTTTTATTCATACAAAAAATATAAGATTTACTGTTATGCAGACTACTGCATTATTGTAATAATTGTATAAATAATGTCAACCCATTCATGACTGCATATTAGAATGGCTACTTGGACATTTATTGGAAAATGATATCATTTGTTTACTTTTGAACATCGGCAAAAATCAAACATTTCCCCTAATTGAGCTCCATTTCAAGGTTCTTTTCATAGTAAAACCAATCAAAATCACCTCCATTTCTATAATATGTTTTCCATTCTATCAAATGAGACCAAGAAAACGAGAATACAACCATAAATACTATACGAAAATAGACCACAAACTTGGCATTTTAATTAAAAAAAACGATCGGAGTTTTTTTTTTTCTCATTATGCACTGCTTGCTGCAGGATTTTTTTTATACTGCACACACTGACCACACAGGCCCATTCTCTCACATGTGGTCCTACCAGCTTTCTCCTGCTTGATTTGAAGCTGCTAGAATTTATGAGTATATATACGTCAAAAACAGTGGCTCATAAGACGTATATATACGACCAAAACAGTCAGAGGGTCAAGGGTGGTTGGTTACTGGGCCAACGCGGATTCATACACGTTTTCTCTGAAGCTGGACCAGAGAAAATGTAATGTTTACCCTCCATCTACCCCTTCTTAGCATATAAACATTGCATGTTTATATGCTATGTAATGTGTTTCTTAAATAATTTTAAAGAAAATGTCATATAGACATTTTCATTAATTCATCTATTAACCTAAAATAAGACATTTAATATGTCCAAGAGTGATTATTATTACGTACTATTAGTATTACTATGGCACTCTTAGCGAACAAGTAACAAAGGCATGTTTATATGCTATGTAACGTGTTCTTACATAATTTTGAAGAAAATATCATAGATGGATTAATGAAAATGTCTGTATTAATGTAAAATAAGACATTTAATATGTATTATGTTGGTGTTAAGACTAGAAGGACACTCTTAGTGAATGAGTAACAAAGGCATGTTTATATGCTATGTAATGTGTTTCTTACATAATTTTGAAGAAAATATCATAGATGGATTAATGAAAATGTCTACATTAGCATAAAATAAGACATTTAATGAGCCCCAGAGTGAGTCATGAACGTATAAGCGGCCCAGGTGGATGCGTCTTGTACCATCAATTTCTGACCCGATGTACGAAACCCGGGGGGAAATTACG